AAGGTAAATAGTGAGCTGGGCTACATCAGTTGAGTTCACATCCCCAGAATTCATGTCCAAGTTGTACAGTGTTCTGCACATGGAGTAATGTGTACAGTTTTGGTCACAACGAAGTAGAGGGGGTGGCTGAGGCAGTGGCAGTCATAGGAGAGCAACAAGGATGATGCCTAGTGTTAGAGGAATGAGCTATGAACAATAATTAGATAAGCAGCTTTGACAAAAGGTATCTCAGTTGCGGCTCTGTAGGATTATATAAAATGCTGAATGGGATTGAGAATGTAAAGCCAATGCAAACATTTAAGATGTACAAAGGCAGCAGGTTAAGTGGTACACACATTGAAGACTGTGAAGGGCAATTTCAGGTGAAGCACCAAAGAGTATTTATTCAGAGAAATGGAAACCATTGATTCCGGTCACAGTAGTATGTGCTCTGTGAATCAAGAACTAATATCTTTTGTTAAGAGGAGTTCACAATACAATACAAAATTACATTTGTAAAGGCCTTTCATGTTGGGAGGGCGTCCCAAGGTGCTGGACAGTCAGGGATTGGGACCCAAGCATGAGGGTGGGTGGGGGTGTTGGGATCAGGGAGGACGGAGGGCAGGGAGGGTAGGAAAGCATGCTCGAACAGGAGGGTCTTGAGACGTGTCTTTTGCAGTCCTTAAATGGGAGGATGATCTATTCCTTAGCATTGACATCCCTTTCCATGCGCTTGTCATTTCTTTGAAATAGTTTGTGTTCTCACTCTCTGTAAGATGGCCCTGAAGCACCAACTATTTTGGTGCACTGAAATCCCTCGTAATACAGTTCTCTGCAGCCTCACTTACTTGCTTAAGTAATTCATTTAGTTACTTTATCTTCAAGTGGTGGATGATAGTGGTTGATACTTATTGCTCTCCCTGTCATTGCTAATATCCACCCTTCTGCGATCTCCACTCTATCGTTGTATCCACCCATTTAAGCTGTTATATACTCAGCCCCTTTTATGATGTGGTGATTTGGTTCCATAATTTGAGATCTTGTGTGATAACGGGTTCAATTATTAGTATGGTTACTGGTCAGCACTTCTGTGTTGTTAGATCACCGATAACAATGCTACACTGCATGCTCATGTGGAAATTTTTAGTGGTCACTGGGACACCATTGCCACTGGGAGATATTCTGTCCCCCATGTACAATTAGCCAGCCAGTCAGTGGTGGAAGTTGGAAATGCACTTCATTGTGTTCCACAGTGCACTCTCATTACACCATCCTCCTCCACCACCTTTCCTCCATCATCCACCTCAGTGGGACCGCACTCGCCTGGTTCGAATCCTACCTCACAAACCACCAGCAGTACATCTGCACAAACGGCTTCTCCTCCCGCTCTCACCCTGTCACCTGTGGGGTACCCCAAGGATCCATCCTTGGCCCCCTCCTCTTTCTGATCTATATGCTCCCTCTTGGGGATGTCATCCGCAGACATGGGGTACACTTCCACATGTATGCAGACGACACCCAACTCTATTTTTTCACTTCTCTTTGCGACCCCCAGTCCCCTGATGTTTTGTCAGCCTGCCTGTCAGATCTCAGGGGCTGGTTGAGCGCAAATTTCCTTCAGCTGAACGTTGACAAGATGGAAGCCATATTCTTTGGCTCTCATCAACGTCTAAAATCTCATGGCTCTCCCTGCCTCCACCTACCCGACCTCCCCCTAAAACTCTCCGAACCCATGCGCAACCTAGGCGTCAGGTTCGACCCCCAATTATCCTTCCTCTCCCACATCCAGTCCCTCACCAGCACTGCCTTCTTCCACCTCTGACGCATCACCCGTCTCCGCCAATACCTCTCCCCAAAAGCCGTTGAAACCCTGGTCCATGCCTTTGTCACCTCTCGGCTGGACTACTCCAACACCCTCCTCGCCGGTCTCCCATCCATAAAATCCAAATCATTCAAAACTCTGCCGCCCGCATTCTCACCCGCACCAAACTCTGCTCCCCGTTCACCCCAGTCCTTGTCAGACTGCACTGGCTGCCTATCCCAGAGAGGATCAATTTCAAGATCCTCATCCTTGTATTCAAATCACTCCACTCCTCTGCACCCCCCTACCTCTCTGACCTCTCTCCTCAAAATAGTACCCGTTGCCTTCGTTCCTCCGGGTCTGGCCTCCTCCTCATCCCCCGAGTCCTCCGCTCCACCCTCGGTGACTGTACCTTCAGCCATTATGCCCCGAGGCTCTGGAACTCCCTTTCTCACTCTCTTCGTCTCGCTCCCTCCCTTCCCATTTTCAGGTCTCTGCTGAAGACCTTTTTTTTCGACCGCGCCTTTGGTCACCTTCCTCTCCATCCCCCTGGCTCGGCACCAGGATCCGTTACTGTAAAGTGCTCTGAGATGCCATCCGGCATGGTGGGCACTATATAAATCCAAGTTGTTGTTGTTGTTGTACAGACCCACAATATACTGACGTGCAGTATATGGGGCTCTGACTGTATCACACCTTTGGAATGTGAATGCTATTTACTTTGTAACAATAATCAACAACCTTAGGTCTGCCAAGATACATAAATGATGGAATAGGCTGGATGGGGTAAATGGCTATCTCCTCCTGTTCCTATCGTTCTATGTTTCTAATGGGTACCTTTTGGCAAAAATATTCGTCTTGAGATAAGATGAAGTACTAACATTTTGTTCAAGAAAGCCAAATATTTCCTAGTTTAAGATTTATTCAAATATTTCAGAATTCACCTGGGCGACAGTCTTCAAATCACAAATCAGTCATATCCTCAAATCACTCTTTGATACAGATGTAATATGTTATGGCTCTAAATAATGGAAAAACAAGACCTAGGTGTGAATTGGATGCAGATTTGAATGAACATACTCAGGGTTGAGTGTGTTGAGACAATATTATCAGATAAAATAAAAAATGGTGGTTAAAATACTATACATTCTGCACTTTTCCGTTAATCCCCACTGGTGCATTATTCAATTACTGTTGTACACTTTACAACATGTCTGATGGATGAAAGAAACACTTTCCTGATAGAAGTGCAGGTGGGATTATCTGTCAGTTCAAAGGTGATAATAAAGCTGTCAAATTAAATGGGTTCAGTCGTTTTTGTCTTAAAAGAGTGAGGAGAATTAAACAGTTTGATATTAACTAGCTTTTTTAAACCTTCTCATATCAGTACACCTTATGGAAGAGCCAAATTGATATATGAACACAGTGATTCAATTGTACCACAGAAACGTGCAGTTCCAGAGTGCATTTCGGATAAAATAAATATCTTAGCACTTTACGGAATGACGATTTAGGAAGAAGGGTGTTATGCAGGTTAATGTGGCAGCAGATTTGCACTAAACAGCATCCTTGTGTGGGAATATAAACCAGGATGGCGGTGGGAATAAAGTACCCAGGCAGGGGCAGGGAGAGAGTATCTTAACACCCATCTGAGTCACAAAGCAGGTGAGATTCAATTCCAATGATCAAAAAAAAATGTTGTGAGAAAAAAATAAAATCTTTGTGTACAATATAGATTATTATGTAGAGAGCTGCCTTCTTTATATGTCCATTTAAATAAAAGCATCAGCTTTGATGCACTTGGAGGACAAAGGATTTCTGTAAGAGTATTCTTTTTTTGACCGAGCCGCAAATGGAACATTGATATAATAATAATCCTTGCATTTAGTATAGTACCTTGCACATTTGGAGTACATCACAAAGCGCTTCACAGGGCTAACTTTAAAGTGTAATAACTGTGTATTTTGCAGGTTGGTGCAGCATCCAATTTGTTCACAGCATTGTCCACACATAGCCATCAATCCAAATTCATTAATTTTGTCACCCCAGTAACTCCCTTTAATTACTGTTGAGGTGAAGAATAACACTGACAAAAGAATACTAATAAGTATAGTGCAGCCCCATTATAACAGGCCTTATTATAACCATAATACTCTTATAAGAAGGGTGTCCTGTAGACCTGCGGTCAGCTTCCTGCACATAACCTGCTCTGAGTAGTCGGTCTGGTTGTGGGCCAGAAGTGGGCCATTTTATTTTGCTTCGCTTAGAGCACAATTGCTGAGAGATTGGAGCGAGCTGACCATGTTATAGCAAGGTTGCCCTGTGCTACCATCTTCCAAATTATAGCTTCAAATTACCAAGAAATGTACAGTATACCTTTCTTAGGTTCATTCACATATGCAGTATCTGCTAGGAAAATGGCTGAAACGTTTCCTTTTTGTGTGCTTCATAGCTTGCCAGACTAAACTCAATGGAACAATGGACATGTCTACAAACACCATGGTTGAGTTTGCATTATTTTGACAACCTGTGTAGGCTACTATTTTAAGGCACTTCAGAAGTCATAGTCAAATCATTATAGAAATCCCCTGAACAAAATAGTTTGTGACTGCTATTTTAATAATAATAATAATAATCCTTGCATTTGATATAGCGCTTTTCACTTTAATGGCGTCAAAGTAAATTGAAACAGAATATGTTTTTAGCATTAAACCTGTGGACAAAACATCTCACAGATTCATGAACAATAGAAACACTAGTAAATTTCAATTTTAAAATATTTTTGCCATTTAAAGAAAAATAAAATCTTATGGGAATAATCAAAAGAAATATATTTGGTAATATTTTTGCTGTTTGTCTGGAGCTTGGTTTCTGTGATTCATAAATGAAATTCAAATGAGTTTAAAGGTCTAAAAGGAAATGATCTGTACAGAGCAAATTGATATTATAGGAAACCCTTGAGGTCTAGATTTACTCTATTAACATGAAATTTCAGAGTGGCCAGAAGTTGTTAAATTCTTAAATATAGTCTAAGTTTGAAACCATTTTTCTGTAAGTTTAAGAAACACAGAAAATGGACTTCGGAGTTAAAACTGAATATAATAATTTGCCAAATTCTGCACATGCCGAACCACTCCATTAATAGAGTAAATCTAGACTCAAGTGGATTTCTACCCCAGTGAAGAACAGTCTTTAATGTTTTGTCATGTTTCTCTAATAGAGTTTTCTTCGAGATTTACTAAAGAAAGCAAATCGGCCATTTGATGAAGTGAAGCTGGAAGAATATACTCAGACAACAGTATGTAAATGTATCTTTATGTTGATATACTGCTGAAACACTTGTTCAAAGCAGAGTAAAGCACTTTAGAACATACATAGAATCATAGAATTATACAGTGCAGAAGGAGGCCATTTGGCCAATCGTGTTCGTGCCAGCTCTTGAAAGAGCTATCCAAATTAATCCCACTCCCCCACTCTCTCCCCATACCCTTACAAATTTGTCCTTCCCAAATATCCATCCACTTCTCTCTTGAAATTTGTGATCAAATATGCTTCCACAACCCCTTTCAGGCAGTGAATTCCAGATCCGAACAACTCGCTGGTTCTTTTGACAAAATGTAACCACAGTTTTCAATGAGTGGTAGTGTTTGCTTTTGGCATTGAGCTAGTCTATGTTAATTGTAGAATTATGANTTTTTTATGCTGCAGAACAAAGTGTTAATTTGATACATGGATATAAATTATTTAAGATTATGTCATTCAAAATATAGAAACATTGTATGTCAGAATTTTAAGAGATCAGATGTAGTTATTTGTAAACAAAAATATTTTCTCATTTAAAAATTTTAAGTAAAATTTGTATACTACTTCCACACACATATATATATGTAGATGGTCTTGCACTAAAGCAAAATGTATGCTGTTTGCATAAGGCATGAAACCTTATTTTCCCTTATGCAAAACTTCAAATCTGCCTCATTATTTATTATTCATTACAATGTCCTACATATCGTTAGAGCTACACTAACCAGTCTCAAAATAGGAATTTGCTTTCAATATTTTTAAAGAGCACATGGTTTTTAATTTTGCTTACCATTGATAATTAAACCTCTGTCGTTGTCTTTTTTGACCATGTCCTGAGCCAAATGAGTTTACAATTCTCTAGGGCGGTACTGATGACAGATCAGCCAGCCTGTATTGGTGGCATACATATGTGAAAATCTTGGTCTAGTTTGGATACTCTTAGGCATGGTGATGATTTCTGTATATGTCAGACACCTGCCAATGGATTGCCCAAGAAACTTTAAAATCTAAAAGTTTACTTTGTAATGGAAGGAAACCACAGCTGGTGTGGAGTTAAAGCAGTGGAAACCATTGTTCTATAGTTATCACCCACTTTGCACAGTGAACATGTGCCTTTAGGGTTAACTTGAAGTCTAATTAAATTCCTATATATGTTATATGTGCCTTACAAAAGCAGAAACATCTGCTCTCTTAATTGTTATCACTTTTTCTGACGCAAGCTCTAATGCTTTTAATACTTGATCCTTGATTTTGAATGAGTGTTCTGTACTGTGACTGTGTGAGTGTGTTTATGGAAGAGATTTGTTTACATATTTCATGGAGGCATCTATAATGCACTCTATGGTGGCTGCAAATTATTTCATGCAGCGATTGAAAACTTGCAAAGAGATGACTCTGAGCAGTATGATTCCTAAATGGTTGCAACTTGAACTTATCTATATGGAAAATGGAATGATATATTAGCTTGATCACTTTATAGCAGGAAAATCAAAACTGATGTTAAGTGATCGTCTGCAAAGGCAAGGTTACGTACTTATTGTGTACACAGTAGAACCATTGAAACAAATCCCAATTCTTGGGACTAGATTTGAATTGGTTTGGGATAATTGAGAAATATTCAAGGATGTACTTTGGCCTCTATTACCACCAGGTTGACCTGATCAGGTTTTGTGTTTGTTTTTATGAGCACAATTCAGTACTATACTTTTGTTTTGCTCGCTATACAATAGAAAGCGCAATAGCGACACCTAGTGAAGATCAAGGGTATTCAATCAGTTCAAAAGCAAAAATTCTCAAAAATATTCCCTCACAAGTTGGACACACACTAGCATAAGTCAAAGAGATATGCATGATTAACTTCTCAGCTAAAGATGCTGGGAAAAGGAAGCTTATATACAGCAAAAGAAAATATGTTCTTTAAAAAGGGTACCTTTAAGGTACCTCATTATAGATTAATGAATAAAGTCAGAGAAGTCAGGGGAATAGTAGCAGAATGGATAGCAAACTGGCTACAAGAGAGAAAACAAAGCGTAGGGGTAAAGGGTAGCTACTCAGACTGGCAGGGGGTGGGCAGTGGTGTTTCACAAGGATCTGTATTGGAACCACTGTTGTTCACAATTTACATTAAAGATTTGGACTCGGGGATCAAAAGTACAATGTCAAAATTTGCAGGCAACACCAGATTGGTGGGGTGTAGTTAATACTGAGGAGGACTACATCAAATTACAAGACATTAATACACTTTCTGAATGGGCATATAATTGGCAAATTAATTTCAATGTAGATAAGTGTGAGGTGGTACATTTTGGTAGGAGGACTAAGGAGGTCACATACTGCCTGGAAAATAAGAATCTAAATGGGGTAGAGGAGCAAAGGGATCTAGGGGTACAGATACACAAATTGCTAAAAGGAGCAACGCAGATTAATAAGGCCATAAAAAAGGTAAACCAAGCGTTGGGGTTCATTTCTATAATAATAGAAATGAAAAGCAGGGAAGTTAGACCAAATTTATATGAACCTTGGTTAGACCACACTTGGGAGTAGTGTGTACAGTTCTGGTTCCCATATTATACAAAGGATATAGGCACTGGAGAAGGTACAAGAGATTTACAAGGACGATACCAGAACCGTGAGGCTATATTTATCAGGAAAGGCTGAACAATGGACTCTTCTCTTGAAAAAAGATGAGTGAGGCGTGACCCAATAGAGGTCTTTAAAATGATGAAAGATTTTGATACGGTAGACATAGAGCAGATGTTTCCGCTTGTGGGGGAGACCAAAACCAGGGTCCATAAATATAGTCACCTATAAATCAAATAGAGAAGTCAGAAGAAACCTCTTTACTTAGAGTGGTGGGAATGTGGAACATAAGGAGTAGTTGAGGCAAATAGCATAGATGCATTTAAGGGGAAGCTAGATAAGTACATGAGGGAGAGAGGAATAAAAGGTTATATTGATAGGCTTAGTTGAGGAAGGGCTCATGTGGAGCATAAATGCCGGCATAGACCAGTTGGGCCTGTTTCTGTGCTGTATATTCTATGTAATTCTATGCATTCACTCCAGTTATAGGGCAAGACAGCTCTTGGGCAAAGATTCCTATAAGTAGCCCCAAGACTGCACTTTAACTAAAAACTAGAAGCACTGAGCATGTAAAATTAATGGGAACCTTTTATCTAACATGCTTCCAGAGCAATGCATCATTAATGAAATAGCAAGGGAATAGTGTTTTGATAGCTTCACAACAAGATTACATTTGTATAGTGCCTTTCACGTCGGGAGGATGTCCCAAGGCGATGGGCACACTACAGCACAGGCATTTTAAACACTCTATGAGCATCAGGGAAAAAGTGGCATCATCAGTGTTAAGTTATACATTGGGTGATAGTCCATATGTTGGCACTTTTTACATATTTTGACATACATTTAAAAGGGGAAATTCTATTAACTGTACAGTCAATGTATATTGAAGTATTTACAGCCTTTCATCTACATATTTGTAACTACACTAGGGTGTTTTCAAACATCTTGTGGCAGAAGTCTGGTCACACAGGGATGGAATACTTGTTGTCTGACACTTGATGTAATGGCAGTATACAGCTATATGTACAGCTATATGAGAGATGTTAAGTAGAAAAAGTAATAACAGAGGAAGTTATTATAAAAAGCCAAAGTAACTTGAATCTTCACTATGTTGTAATATTCTTTTAAACACAGGGTTTATCTAAATTTTCTGAAGAGATTAAATTTTCAAGTTTATTTTATTTTTAAGCTCAAAATGTTCGATTCAAATAATGACGGGAAACTGGGACTGGCAGAAATGGCAAGGTATGTACCTTTGCAAATGTTACATTTCTGAAATACTTTTTCAAGATCCATATTGCTTACCTATTATGATTGGAGAAATCATCTGTGCAAAATTTATTATTGAACAGGTTACTTCCTGACAAAGAGAATTTTCTCCTCAGATTTCAGGTAGGTGGTTATCTTTCGCATGAAATAGCATTAAAGCATGGCCATGAATAACAAGACCTTTCAGTATTAACAAGTAATACTATTACTATAGCAAGTACAATACTTAGACACTGCTCCACAATGCTAATGCTCACGACCATAGACCTCACCTATGGGGAATATAAAACTACTGTCACCACAAGGACCCATATCATATAAAAGTGTTTTGACAGCAATTTTAATGAAATGAAAGAATGAGATCAAGTTTGCCAAATAACCTTCCATTATCCTAAGTTCCCTGGTGAGTCTTGTGAATGGAACAGTCAGTGATTTGTTTTTCCTATTTCAGGGGGTGAATATGTCTTCAAAAGAGTTTGATGATATCTTTGAATTTTTCGACCAGGTAAGCATATTAAAGTGTGGATTAATTGATTTTAGTTACTTGCTGCGTAGCTTCAGGAGGATGTGGCTGCAGGAGAATCAATTTTAAAACCTTCATTTACTTTCAGTGCCTTAAGGGATGATGGTTACTACAGTATTTTGAAAAGCGAAAGAACCCAGGAGAGCAGTCACTTTCATTCTGGTGAAAATTATGAGCCAATGAAGTAGGTTTTCACAACACAATGATACAAAAGAACCACTGATGTACAAAAATATTTAATAGGAAATTGATTGAGGGATGTGAGAGTAGTTTGGGAAAAGTTAGCTCAACCTCTGTTGGTTTTGCACATTACTCTGGCATTTTCTTTATGAATATCATCTGCTGCATTCTGTTGCACGTCAAACTGTTTTGGCTCAAAGTTTGCTTAGCTACTTTTCAAAAACAACACCTTTCGTTGATAAGGCTAATTTACCATTAGTAATTATCTGTGGTTATATTTGGGTTGTGTAAGTAACATTTGTCACAGTAACACTTACACAGTCCAGATTTCATAGGTTGTAGATCCAGGGTCAGCATATGCTCGAACCTGCCTTAATGAGGAATTTTGGAGATGAATCTTACAGCCAGACGGGTTTGTGAATATAAATTCCTTTTTTTACCTCTTCACAAATAACTGGCCAGATTTATCTAAACCAGTTATTGTGAGGTTCTTCACTTTCACTAAAGGAAACTGAACAGCATTACATTGGGTCTCGGCTCCAGTTCATTTCAAACATATGAGATGGCATGTTTTTGAGAGCAGATATTACAGTGTGATGTTATGTTCTTAAAGGGAAAAATACACAATTATCATGGATTATTCAAATTGCCGTGGAGATTCAAAGATCTAGAATATACTGATACCAATGATTAAGGCAAATTAGCTGATTTGAAATGCTGCTTTCCTACCAATAGATGTTGCAAGTTCACTACTTAACTCACATTACTTACACAGCAGAAAACGTGGATTTCCCTTTTCATTAAAGGCAACTCATTTTTATTTTGAGTAGTATTTATTAGTTTTGAAGTTTGCCTTTTTTGGAGGGTGAACAGTCTCAACTGCCTTGCATATTTATTCTTACTGTGGTGACATATAATCGATGCAAATGATTTCACTTTGACCTTCGCACTATGTATTCTCAAATTCTTAGTTTTTTTCCCAATTTTACTGCTCAACTTATTTTCCAGGATAAACTATTATAACTCCAAAAGACCAGCACGCAAAGCTCTGACAATATTAATTATGGATCTTGTACACAAGAAATGTAATTTTGAACAGTCTCCATAGCAAGAGCTTCAGAAATTTACATTGAGATGGTATTTGTGCTTTTGTTCCCACACGAGCAAAGCCAATTGATCTACCATCAAGATCCTTAAATGCATTTTTCTTGCTCACAAGAGGGTTGTTGCTTGCAAGCAGTTTTTGAAGACAAAATTAATAAAATTATCATATTCCCTTCAATTCATTCAACCCCTTTCATGGACGATACCCTAGTTTGTATACCTTCTTAATATTAATTAAGAATTATTGTTGGAAGTGTAAAAATGAAAGTTAAAGTCAGCTGCATTTCCCCACTATTACCTTGAGATCAGTTACATCAGCACAGTTTTGAACCTTCTTTACAGCCATACTGTGCATCTTACTGTGCATTTATCACAAAGCCACAGGGAAACTGTTAACGCAACTACACAACTCAACTTCACAATATTCCATAATGTCAATGAAGTGGAATAACATGTATTCACTTGTCTCCTTTTGTCCTAATACAATAGTAAGATAAGTACATTTTACACAAAGTGTTTAAAAGTCCTTCTATTTAATAGCCAACACAATTATCAGGCTGAGAAATGAATCTAATGTGGTGACAACTGTTAAGTAATATTTTCTTGTTTCAATTTCTACTAATACTTATTAAGAATAAGTGCTTAAATCCCTGTATTTTGTTTGCTTCTCACGAGCAGCCTGGGTTCAATTCCCAGCAGGGTGAAATGTTGGCCAAGTTTCCTTACTTGTTTACTTTGCAGTAAGTGGGAACCTGGTTGTTAGTCAATTGGTGGAGCGCTTTTCCGGGAGTAATAATCCCTTCAAAAAATTTGTTAAAAAATAATAATTTGGTCACTGAATCCACGACTGTTTTGGAACACTGCTGGGTGCAATTGGTTTCTGAATTTCACCCACAAAATACACAGTCAGTTCACTTTACAGTATATTCTGTGAAGCACTTTGAGACGTAGTGAAGACATAAGGCCCTATATCAAACAAGCGCTCCGGGGAGCTATCCCACGTGAAGGGCGCTATAGAAATGCAAATTGTTGTTGCGTACATTTTGTCAAGAAATGCAGTCTCTGATTTAAAGACAGTATTATCAATAACTGACTCAGTGTTAAACTGACATTCAAATCTGAAGTGTATCAAAATACCCAGCAGCTTGACAGTGCGATGCTTGATAGCGCAGTGAAAATAATTTTCAGAAAATTAAAATTTAGACATTTCTTCAGCCAGTCTCATCTGGTTCCTGGTTGCAATGCAGAACATTCATAAACTATATCTGATTATTTTGGACGTACTGGGATATATTCCACAGTGGGCATATAAATGACTAAAATGTGCATTTATTTATTCTTTTAGGATGGCAATGGATATATAGATGAAAATGAATTAGATGCCCTACTAAAACATCTCTGTGAAAAGAACAAAGAGGTATTTCCAAAATATTACAAATGCAACATAATTATTTTGTTTTTACAGCAGTTGTATGGAGTTTTATAATTTTTTTTGTTGAAAATGCAGGACTTAGACATTCAGAATGTTTCCATGTACAAGAAAAGCATCATGGCTTTGTCTGATGGAGGGAAGCTCTTTCGGAAAGATCTGGCACTAATCCTCTGCGCTGAAGAGCTTTAAATACATTTTATGTTCTCATCTGCTTGTGATTTGTGTGAAGAAAACTGTGTGCTAAAAGGGTGTAGATATGCTTTCCTTTTACTTATAAAGTTTACTGACTGCATATAGATTAATCGGTGGAATGTGCCACACATTCTTTCTGATCTGTTGTAACTATACTCTTTGTAATTTACTGCTTTTGTATCTACAGAATTCATACAATAAAGTGTATTAATGATTCAGATTACAAGAAATGTGGCATATGAGGCAACTTGCTTTTGTTTCTCTGAATATGAATTAACAGCAATCTAGCACTGAAAGTAGGATTCATATTACATGTTCACAAAACTGTTGGAGAATCCTGAAGATTTAATAAAAACACTGAACGTACACACATTTTGTGTCATTTCTATGATTTACATTTGAAATATGAAAATTAACTGATTTTTCAAAATTCAATCTCTGGCAGAAGAAAGTCCAGGAGGTCCTAGTCTTAATTGAAGATTATTTAACAACAATTTTGAAAACTAACTTCAAAATTAAAACTTAAATTAAAATTTACGAATTGTCCAAAATTTGCACATTCAGAAATGCTAAGAAAAAGTCAAACTTGAAACTTTGGTGGATTTTTACCCTGTGTTGCTCGAAGAGAACTTCTTGGATATTCATTCATATGTTGGTGAAGGCATTGAGGAAATGTTAAGTGGAATCATGGGGAGATGCTACAAAAACAAATAAGGCTAATAAGCATTTACATTACTGCACTTCCCACCGATACCAGATAATAAAACACCTAAAAAGGTTACGATAAGTGGTGAGGTCTACGTAATATTAAATAGTGCAGAAGGTTTACATCCACATAATCTGGTATTTTATAATCAATAACATTGAATCCTACTTTGCTCAGACAAACAGCAAGTAATCGGAAGATTGATATTTAACAACAACTTGCACTTATATAGCGCCCTCCACGCAGGTTAGCGTCTCAGAGCGCTTGATATTTAATCATATAAAAGCAAACTTCAAAATATATAAAGGATTATTTTTCATTAGACAAGGCCATACCTGAAAATTACATTGAAGCGAACAATTGTGGCTCCTTTTGAAATTGAAGGAACAGCATAAATGTGTAAAGCAATTGTTTGTTATGGATTCAGCTGTTGAAGCAAAGTCCATAACCTTATTTAATGTAACATTATTTCCACCATATCCTTTCAAAATTAAGTGTATATTTTCAGAATTTGAATTACATTCGGTCTAGGTTTACACCCTTGGGGAACAAGAAATTGTGTTGACTGAAGTTGCCATTGAAGATTTACATGTACATTGTAGGTGTACATTTGACAAATTATGATTTCACCAGTAATAAAGCAAAACTGTTTTTGCTTACAAGTACAGTTAGTGCAATAAATCCTGTTTAGTGCTTTTAAGACTTTTCAAAGACATGATATAAGGCTCCAAATCAAATGAAAACATTTATTAATATTTTTCTATTTTTTAAAAAATCATGATGATGTTCAAAATAAGTCCGGGCAATTTCACATTATCAACTTAGCAAGTTAAACAGCACTAAAAAAATCATACATTCTGATTGCAATAAGATCCAAACGTCACGAGTTAGGAGCCCTTAGTTTTTCTAATCAAGGACGACAACATATTCCATTGCTCATCTGTCACCTAGAATAGAAAAAAATGGTGTAGTCAGCGCTTCTACCAGAACTTGGCTGATTCATCAATTCGCATCAACAATCACACTTAATGCAACATTAAATTTGTATTTTTTATTAAATGACAGTAAACACTATTCGTATTAATTGAAAGCCACACTATGCAGTTTGCACTGCACTATTAGATACATAGACATATTGAAAGGAAAGTACAGTAAAGGCCTTTAGCCCTCTTAAAATACACTCGCAAAATAATTCCACGCGCCCCTCGTTAATTAAATCTCCCACTCAATTATCTGACTACACTTCTCCGGTTACTGACGACATAATCTCTGAATGGAGGCGAAAAAGCGAAAAACAAACATGGTAAATTGCTGAGTTCTAAAAGCAGTTGAGCGAGCTCTGAGAGGGTTACATCACCAACACAAGAGACAACCTTAATTGACGCTCTGGAATCTGCTATATTACTGTTAGCCTCTCTCTGTTTGAAGAACTGCTTCCTCATGCCCAAGTGATTAAATGGCTTTTCTCTAGCGCAAATATTATACTGAACAGCTGAGGTGGACATTACCTTTATTAGATCATTGAATTCACCAGCTAATGAAGCATACTCTCCACCATCAAATCTTATCACCTACAAAATTACAGCACAAGGTAAATATTCAGTGATATCTGGCTTAACACAAACTAAAAACATTTTTTTTACTTTGATGAATATTATTTATCATTAAAGATCATTATTATCATTTATACTTTTGAAAAATAAAGACACCCTTTTCACCACCTCTAAACCATGCATGCCTTCTGGTAGGTATAGTTAGAAAGTCAAGAAAATAAGGCATTCATTCAAAGTATAAAGATGACCAAGTAGAAATACAGAGTCCTTCATAATCAGTAATGCTGATATCATTAGAATCTGAAATTATGTTAATTAATATAATGTATTGCAAAATTCCTCCAATTCATTATAGGTTAATGAGATAGGGAATTACTTCCCAGCCCTGATATTGCAATTGTTTTCATCCACATTAAATAGCAAAATCAAGCTGAATGACTCTTAGTTATCATACTACAGATAACAGCACAGCTATTATTACTTCAATGCAGCATCAAAATTTAGCATCTATAGTGCAACATACAAAGCTTCATCTTCCAATGGATTTCATTCTGTATAGCAATCTGTAATGAATTGCTTGAATTAAAAAGGTTCTGTGAAAAGAAAAGCACTTTCGGGAGGAGGAATAGGCAATCAAGGCAGAGGGAAAGCCACTTGATAGAAACAAGAGTTCTCTAAATGCTAACTTACTGCTCCTGAAACCCAACTGGCATAATCACTGCAGAGGTAGGTAGCAAGGTTAGCAATTTCATCCACTGTGCCAAAACGGCCTGTTGGAATCTTCTCCATCATTCCTTTTTCAAATAATCCTGCTGGATCAAGACGACTGAAAGCACCCTATAAATACCAAAACATTTCAGTTATTCTCTCTCTTTACATACAGATATATATTTGAAAGCCACAATTTATTTCCTTGTTTAAAAATGTTAAAATATGTTTGTAATTCCGCACTCTGATCAAATACTGATAATAATTTTTTTTCCTTTTTTTCTTCCTTTGTTCTTTCTCAATTTAAATTTTTCTTGTTTGTGGGAAGTCACTGCATAGATTGGCTGCTGTGTTTACATACGCAATATAACATATAATAATATCTAAAATACAAAACAATAATAAATTGGTCATTTTCAATCCACGACTGTTTGTGGGACACTGCTGTGCGCAATTGGCTGCCACGTTCGCCCACAAATATACAGTCAATTCACTTTACAATATGTTCTGTGAAGCGCTTTGGGACGTCCTCCTGACGTGAAAAGCGCTATATCAAATGCAAGGATTATTATTATTATTATTATTATATTCTGTGAAGCGCTTTGAGACATCTAGAAGACGTGAAAAGTGCTATATCAAATGCAAGGATTACTACTATTATATGTTTTTTCTGACGAAAGGTTATTGACCTCAAACGGTAACTCATTTTCCTCTCTCCATGGTGTTGCCTGACCTGCTGCGTGTTCCTAGCGACTTGTGTTTATACTATATTACATGTTTTTTATTTGCAGATCAGCTTCCTTTTTGTTTACTGAGTTATTAATTGAGTTCCGCCTGCCTTATGATTCAGATGGATGTATTGGTAGATCTGCTATTTCAAAGAGTCTTTCTCCTGGTTTATACTCTTCATTCAAATTTGCCCCAAACCTAAATTAAGTGGCTGCCAATCTCATTGGCGTTAATAAGGTGTAGCTGTTGCAGATTAGATGTTGTGTTTGCCTGCAAAACTGTTACTTTCATTTCTACTCAATTATATTATATATACGGTGCTTTAAGATATTTATTTCACGTGGAAGATGCTAAATAATGCAAGCTATATTTTTTCTCATATTATTTTGTGATATGTGGATCACAACTTTCTACTTTATTACATTAAAAAATCCAAAGTCTGCAAAAGGTTTAAAAAGGTGAGAAAAAAAACCAAAAATGAAAGCATAAAGTACGTGATTAATATTTAAATTCAATTGTTCGTTTTGTGGTTTCAGCAGCTTACATATTTATGAGACTAGTGCGGGGTTGAAAAATAATTAACATTTCTAATGTTACAGTAATCCACAACTATGTGAGCCTAGTCCAAAGAAAGTAACATTACAACTAGATTCATTTCTGCAAGTTTAATAATAAGAGTTGCGAAAAGGAGACCACCACCAAAGGTGCATTCTTTCTTCTCAAAATGTTTCCGACTATCAAATTACCCAGCAAGTTGATTTAAAAATTCTTTCATGGTTACTTTGATGTTTGTAAGGCAAAATCTGGGTTCACAAGATTTTAACAACTTTGAGAATGACAAGGAAAGACCATGTGAGGATATGAACCTGCTCAGTACATTTTTCTTTAACTCTTTGAGTAAACTTTTGAGCACATTCTGGAGTGTCTATCCCTTAATCCCCACACTCCCCATTGCAAGGACTGAGCTTCTGCTCAGCTTCTTCTCATGATGGAAGAAAAACAGGTAAACTGAACACCCCCCCTACATCACTCCAGGAATAACTTCACCAGCACTAGCTCCACCAATTTACAGCAAAGATTTGCATTCCACAACTGAATGGGCATCTTTAATCACTCTTTGAAGGTTTAATTTGATAGTTAAATTCAGTGTCATGATATTACTCATTCAAGATGTCTCATCGTTACAACTTCATTCGATGGCATTTTTTGTCTTGTTGAAAATATGACTTGAATCAAATCTCCTTTGGATGTATTGTCCATATTTTGTAGGTAAACATGGCAGCCAAATTGCACACAGTTTCAGTGGGATCACTGGCACAAGCAAAGATATAATCTCAGTATCCTCCTTCTATGCTGTAAACATTTTTTTTTACCCAAGGTCATTGTCAACCCAAATATTGCAATGTTGGCCCCCTCACTGTTTTTGTGCTTTGTGAATATCCAATAGCTTCAACAAAGGTTACTATTTAATCTGTCGTTAGATCTATTCAACTGCTGGAAACAATAATCAATCAAGGAAACTGAAAATTTCTCACAGTATATATTATCGATATTTTAGCAACAGGTACTGATATTGTTTTAATGTACAGTTTACATGTTTTTAAAATCAGGAACATCAAATTGAAACATTCAAAAAGAAACCATTGAAAAAAGGGTTAAACTGCTATTGCCAAACACAGCAGAAAAAAATAGTGATTCTTCCCCGAACCTACTTATTGGTAGTACCTTGGTTTTAATAGGTCCTGGTTGAATCACATTGAACCTCATACCATACCGACCCCATTCAGCAGCAAGTGACCTGTAATGTTAAATATAAACAAAACTAGACTGAGAAAATAGTTTGTACCATTTGAATTAAACAACAATCATTAAGAAATGTTTATATTTAGCTTCAGAATGTGACAACATAGAAAAGAAGATTCTCCAAAGGAACTAAATGAACAAATAAAAATGATATATAAAAACAAAGTATGTTTCAAATTTCTTGAACAATTCTCCAATTATTGTTCCAAACTAACATTTTTTATTTGCATAACAAAAGAATTAAACATAGACTTCAGAACAAACTGGTTTGCAAAGTTTCGTACCAGGTCCTTTTCGTAACTTCAAATGTCACGGACGTAAACATTATTTTTGTGAGTAAAGTTCAAAATCAATATGCTTTATACTATTTTGGGGTTACAGAATTCTTCCCTTTCATCTACTTTTAGAATGAACAAAACACTGGGAAATCTCAAAGGCATCAGTTGCTTTAACTGTATTGAAGACAAGTTGAAAGCATGTGCAGTCCTGTGATTTTTGTTTTCTAAACAGATCATAGACATTGGGGCAGAATATTTCTACAAAGTGCCAAAACATCAAACCATTAAATACTTCTTTGAGGAATCGATGCAAAGGAAAATCATAGTTCAAAAAGATTTCACTGCTGGTCCGTAATTTTCTTCGGTCAAAAATCATGAGTTCTTCAGAATACAAAACTTACTCAAAAAGACTAAAGTAATGTCAACTAACCCTATTATATATATTTTTTAAAAATCTTGTGCTAGTAATAGTAATTGTATTAGCATATTAGTTGATATCTGAAAAAATAAAAATTTATTTCATGCCTGCTCAATTTTGCTATTCTCAGTGGTACAAATGAATGGGATACAGAATTTTCACCATTATCGCAGTTTATAATCAGTAATTGGCATTGATGCACCAGAGAAGCAAGCACTATACTTATATACAGAGATCATCCAGAACTCTGCAGCCTGTGTCCTCCACTGCACCAGGCTCTGTGATCCTATCACCCCCGTCCTTGCCCGAATCCACAGGCTTCCCATCACAGAGGATACAGTTCAAGATCCTGGTCCTAACCTTCAAAGCCAGCCATGGTCTTGCTCCCCCTGACCTCTGCGACCTCCTAATCCCCTATCATCATGCTCGCTCCCTCCGTTCAGTGGGCTCCGGCCTGCTTCACATCCCCTGCCTTGCCCGCTACCACTATTGGCGGGCAGGCCTTCTGCCACTCTGCTCCCACCCTCTGGAACTCCATCCCGCAGTCCCTCCGCCTCCCCCCCCTCCCTTGCCACCTTCAAGTCCCATCTCAAGACCCTCCTCTTCGACCGTGCTTTTGATTACCCTCCTTCCCCCTTTGCCCTCCATGCTCCCCGATCCCAACCCCCAGCTCGGTCCGAAGTACTGTTTTGTCCAGCGCCTTGGGATGTCCACCCGACATGAAAGGCGCTATACACGAGAGACCCGAGTTCAATTCCAGGCAGGGCGAAACCTTGGGCAAGTTTCCTTACTCCATACGACTAATAATAATCCCTCCAAAAAGACAAAACAATAATAAATTGGTCATTTTCAATCTACGACTGTTTTGGGACACTGCTGTGTGCAATTGGCTGCCGCGTTCGCCCACATATATAGTCAATTCACTTTACAGTATATTCTGTGAAGTGCTTTGGGACGTCTAGAAGACGTGGAAATCGCTATATCAAATGCAAGGATTATTATTATTAAATGTAATTTTTTGTTGTTATAAATGCTAGGTTCTCTAATTGACTTGCATGGAGTGATGCAGTTTTAAGTATCCTGGTGTCACAGTTTTGAATATGTGTTTGGTTTCAGCTTATTGGGGTGTCCCACAATCGTGAAAGGCGCTTTACAAATGTAATTTTGTTGATGCCATTATTGAATGTTATTGTCCTGCGTAGCCTGTTTACTATTAAAGCATTTTATCACTTACAGCTACACCCAAGATTCCTCCTCTCAAGCTCATGCAGTGAGCAATGATTTCCCATTGGTACAAAGCCCACAGTGATCCTGAACAGACAATTCAAAAACTGGGATATTGTTTCAGAGATTGACTTTTTTCACCTGCTAAACACAATGTTCATAAATTGAACATTTCCAAATATAATTGCTTTTCCTAAAAATTATAATTCATATAAGCTCAGAATATAAAGGGCCAAGTAAAAGATGGAAAATACAATACAATAAAATAATTCAAATCTAAACAAGACTACCAGTTTTAAAGACAGTTTCAGCAATAGGTTCTCCTTGAACATTCGGATCTACTCAGGCTGCACTTTATCTCATACTCGCTCCCTCTTACTCTGTTGTTCAGTCTGAGGTGTGTATAATTCCCCAATTCCATTCCCCCTCATAATTAAGTGATTTTCCTAGAAAGGTTTCACAATTGCAAATACCTATTTGGTCTTTAAATTTGGATTTATTCAATTTGTGAGGCAGTCAATTTGTGAATTGTCTGTTACATTGACTGTTACAGTAAATGCAGTACACTGAACATTACCTTCACACTTTGCTGTAAGAGGTTAACTTCAGAGAGTACCCAAAACCATAGCCTTTGAAAGTCCGGCAATCTTTGTTCGTTCAGTTTTTCAAAGAATATAGCTTATAAAAACTAATTTTAAATTGTCATACCTATTTATTATTTAAGAATGATTACTCACTTGCTCATGGCTTCCACACCTGCTTTAGCGGAAGCACTGGGAACTACGAAAGCGGATCCACTCTCTGCGTAGATGGTAGTAATAGATAGGAAAGCTGCACCTAAAAGATACTACGTTTGGGATTTCAGAAAGTAATTGAAAACATAAGCCAATATTTTATGAAAATACAGACAGGGCAACCCCATTAGAACCTGATTGAGAACAGGCCTGCTTCATGCCCCCCTCCGCTCCATCACCATCACCGGCACCACCAGTGGTGGTTGGGCTTCCAGCCTATCTGCCTCCACTCTCTGGAATTCTATCCCGGAGTCCCTCCGAAACAGTGCCCCCCTAACCTTGGTCAAGGTTTATCTCAAGACCTCAGCTCTCAACCCAGCTCGGGTGCCAAACCAGGATTGTTAAGTGCCTTAGGACACAAACAAAGTAATTTGTCATAGTTCACTCATAAGGAACTTCAGTTCCTTTCCAATCTTTTTTTCAACAACATGATGGCTGCATTTATTTTTTGTTCTATCTCTTAATTTAACCAAACATTGCATGGGTGAAAATTTAAATGGGTCAGACAGTACAGAACATAATGGAACCTTACCTTATATTACAAATATTTGTATTACTTCAACTGTGTACACATGGAATTCAACCCTCTTCTGCACACACTCTAGATCCTAGTTAGTGCCAATATAAACATTACATTTTTGATCTCAGGAGGATTTGAAACCAATCAATATTTTCTGAATTGACACTAGCTTGTTGATTGACAGACAATATACAATGGAATTCAATACTATTGTGTTGTGTGCTTAAACTTGTAAAGCTAATTGGAATGGAGTTCCAACTACAACACAACTTATTTGTAGAACTTGAAGAAGATGAAGCCTATTTCCATACTGTGTAAGTTATAAAATGTAAAGAAAAAGGATGACCAGGAAGATACAACCATCATAGCTTTTCATACCTGAAAAAGAGCCTGCTACATGGATATGAGGAAAGCACAGATAAATTGGACTGAAAGGGTTGCTCTTGAGAGTGCCAGCACAGACATGATGAGCCATATGACTTTCTTTTGTGCCGTAAAGATCTATAATTCTATCATATTTGCTCAGCAATTAATTAGTCTTCTATCCTTACAATATAAGGCGCATTTTACAACAGTTATTTTGGTTCCTTTCACATTGCACTTGCAAGCATTTTGTTAGTATCAAAACATGTTCTTTACCTTGTTTTGCTTTAATTAATTCTTTTCCAATTTGCAGGGTCACATATGCAGTGCCATTAAGAACAATATCTGTGATTGTTCTCCAGGCATTAGGAGAAAGTCGTTCTGAGGGCGAGATGAAGTTTCCAGCAGCATTATTTATTATAACCTAATAAAATATATGAAGGAAAGATATGCATAGAAAAGTTGGTAAAACAAAACAAAAAATGTCAAAAATGCAATTACTATTATTCTGTCTGTGAAACAAGGTTATTATGATATGTTAAAGCAAGCTTAGGTCAGTTCTTCACAAATATACTGCAATTTAAAATCCATGGTTGACTCTAAAGATTGCGTCTACAACAACAAGATTCCATTTATAGAGCGCCTTTCACGTCGGGAGGACGTCCCAAGGCGCTAATGGTTTCGGACACCAGATAATCAAGCTCACAAAAACTAATTTACTTTAACAATTTATGATCAGCAAATCAGAGGTATAGAAAAGGCATACTTACCTAATCTGAAGAACAAGTACCATGGTTTAAGTATTCTATTTACTCAAGTCTGTTCCAGAAAGCAAAAGCTGTTCTAGGCTTTATACCCAAGTTGTTTAGTACATTTGTAACTTAGCCTTCCTTCAATCATAACTACAAGGCCAACTGGTTATCACACACAGAACAAATTCTGTGCCCACTTTTCACATAACACAAACCATGTTTGCACGTCCCTTTTTTCCATAACCGTACCAGACAAAGCAAGAACATTAGATAAGGAAATAACATTCTTCATTAATTATGTCTAGCAATTTACAAAAGTTACATGAATACCATCATCAACAAAATTCACTTAAAAGGTACAGCAGTACAAAAACATGATAAGGCACTATATCAAATGTAAGGATTATTATTATGTAAATGGTGAAATGGATTTCACTGTATAATATGGATAATATCATTATATCCTAACCTTTCATGGTGAGTGAAATGTTTATGTACAACTTCAAAAACACAGTTGTAGTCTGGTGACAGTAATTCAACCCCCAAGCCTCTGAACTAACAACTTCCACATCAATCACTCTTATTGACTGAAAGTTGTCGAAGTAGTAAATCAACAGCATGTGGCTTCAAAGCCATTTTGGGTTCTATAAACCTGATTTGGAGACATGAAAATCCTATTCAATAGTAGCTGGAATGATGCTAATGTAATTATGGGAAGGAATCCTGGGAATCTGACCTTAAATGACCACAGACAAAATCTCTAGAAATCTCAAAATCAATTATTAATCATAACCATTACTGCTGGCAGATACTCTTGGAAGCAACTCAACATTGCTTCCACCAATAAAGCAGCATTTTTGTTTCCTGTTTCCAATCCCTCTTGCCTGAGAAGACTTTGGACCATCTACACCAAGGGAATCGATGGTATCTGCTAATCTCTTAACTGAAAATGCTGATTATGGAACTGTGTCTTTGATAACATTATAACTTACTTCAATTTTTTAGGAAAACTAACAAAGAAGCTGAAGCACAGCTGAATCTATCACATTTATACTGTAGCTACACAAATTGATGTTGTGCCAAGGTGAGCTCAGGAGTCAGGCTCAAGCATGGCAAAGTTACCTCAAGATTTATAATCAGTAGAAATTTGAGTTTCTCTTATTGGAATAAGAGCATATGAAGCCCTGGGACATAGTTTGCTGTATTCATAAATGTTTCATCTAAATTGTTATCTAAACCTTAGATACAATGATCGTGGGACTTACATTAGGAAGTCCTGCAACTTTTGACATTTGATGCACTGTAGCCTTTACTGAATCTGGGTCTCTCACATCACACTGAATCGCATGGACCTACAACAGAAACATTACAATGTGAAGCCATATTTTGCTAATGACTATTCCTCTACATGTTAAATGAAAAACAGCAACCAAAGATGGATATTTAATACACTGTTTTACTTGCATTGGGATGAGAAAGAAAACAAAAACCCTCTAAATTGCTTTATAAAGAACACTGACCAAAAGCAATGCACGGAACACCAGGTAGGAATTGCATAGCAATCCTGAGTTAAAGCTCTACTCTTCGTTAAACGTGGACCCCATTTACAGAAAAAAGGTGGAAATGTGCAGCAGATTCATCAGCGTCTAAAACAAGATAAGTGAAAGTTCCGATCAAGAATCTTCATCTGATGAAGAATCTCATCAATGACATGTGAGCTCATCTGCCTCTTTTAGATAAACCAATTCTATAATGGAAGCATATTTCTACATGGGTAATTTTACATTGATGTGTGCTTTTATAAAGATACTAGAATTTGCATTATATGCATTTGCATTATGTAAATCTATAGCCATTTTGCAGTATATCCTGTGAAGCACTTTGAGACATCCGCCCAACGTGAAAGATGTTGTAACAAATGTAAGTTTTATTATTCCATTAAAAATCAAACTATCATATTGTGGAAGGTTAAAGCCTTGCCTTCAAAGCCAACGTTAAATGTCAATGCAATGATCCCTCATTTTTCCAGAGGACAATACATTTTATAATATCTGAAATGTGACACTGCTAGTGTATTCTTATCCAGCTGATTTTTTTTATTATTATTATTTTCAGTTTCTTTAATTCAAACATTTAGCTGAAAGTCACCTACATCTTTCCAAAGGTTAACAAGTTTTAAACTTATAACTTTTGACATGTAATATACTTTGATCTTGTTTAGCATATTGTAAAATGTTTCTATTAAACTGATCAATTTTCAATTTCTGATATTCAATTTCAAAAACATGTAACATATGAAATATTTAGGTGTAAAAACAAAATTCAATAATTGCCTTGGTGCTTATTGTATAAAATGAGGCTAATTGGGCAGAATTCTGTAAATCCTGCAAAAATGCTCAATGTGCAGGATTTCTTGTGTATCACTGGCCAGGGTTAGAATAGGAGCTTAATTAATATAACAACAACTTACATTTATAGCGACCTTCACACAGGATAGTGTCTCAAACAACTGAGCCCCACCTCTAGTCAGACAATAAGATGACTATAATGTTATGGTGACGTAAGAGCATTAGCCTGTTGTCATGCATAAGACCATTTTGCAGGAGGTAAAGCAATGGAATTACTTTCGCATTTTCAGCCAGGCAAAAAAAAAGAAAAACAAACCTTTAGGCAAGCCTCTGTGTATCATATGAAATGGATCGCTTTCAAAGAAATTTTAACTGATCATTACAGTACATAGCTAACAGTAGGCTGTGCAGCCATTCCCATCCCCCTCCTTCCACACACTGATTGATTGATTCATACATACAACTCCACATGGCATACATATCTGGAAACTGTGGTATAGTCATTTCAGCAGTTGGGATGTTGTCAATAGGAAGTATAAAATCAGGCTATCCATAGCACTGCTGCTATTTGGTAACGCTCAATATCTCTAGTTTCGCGGGGAACCTTTGACTTGTACATTGGTTACTTGAATAGATCTATTATAATAATAATCCTTATATTTGATACAGCCCTTTTTGTGCCTGGAGGACATCCCTAAGCGCATTACCGGATATACTGTAAAGTGGAGTGACTGGGTAGTTGTGGGTTTCGTTGTTGATCCATGCTTGTATAAATGCAGTTGTATAAATAATTTTATAATCAGCAGCAGCATTACTTAAAAGCTATCTTACCAAGAAAGGTTCAAAACAGTGTAGTTGTGAAAAGATTTGTAAAGTACTATGCACATAAGAGAAACATATGATAAATGATTTGTGCTGGCTTACAACTGAAACAAATTAAAATTATCTGACAAATACTTGCGATTGTTATGAGTTTCCTGCCAGAAGTCAAACAACATGCCCAGCCTACGTTTTCCATATTCTCCCAAGTCTATGCTTAAGATTTTGGTAGTCTCTGTTTGGCCTTTAATTTTGATCTACACAAGATTGATCTTGTTAGATGCCTATTTGCTTTTAGACTCAGGTACATTTTCACATTCCTCAAAATGTTCTTTGGTTTTAATTTCCCAATTTGTTTCTCACTTGATACCCCTGAGTTAATAAAGTTAGATCTAGTTAATAAAGTTAGATCTAGGAGTCCCATAGTTCAGTGGTTAGAGCACTCGCCTCGCAAGCGAGAGATCTGGGTTCAATTTCCGGCAGGGCAAAATCTTGGGCAAGTTTCCTTACTCTACGTGCCTGATAATAAGGGTGGGGGGGGGGGGGGGGGGGGGGGGGGCGGGAAGGCTCCAACTACAGTTAGAAGTAAATCAGCAAAACTAAGAACGATGGAGGTAGTAGAGCAGATTAGATTATTATAATAGATCTATTCAAGTCAGGTTTCCGTGCTGCTCATAGCACAGAAACTGCCCTGGTCAAGGTCACCAATGATATCCTGACTATCTGTGACCAGGGCTCCCTCTGTCTCCTCGTCCTCCTCGACCTATCGGCAGCATTCGATACGGTCGACCACGCTATCCTACTCCACCGCTTGTCCTCCCACCTCAACCTTCAAGGCACTGTCCTTGAATGGTTTAGCTCTTACCTTTCCCACCGTCTTCACTTCGTCTCAACGAATGGCTTCTCCTCCACCCCCCGTACTGTCTCATGTGGTGTCCCTCAGGGCTCTGTCCTCGGTCCCCTCCTCTTCACCCTCTATATGCTCCCCCTTCGGTGACATCATCCGCAAACATGGGGTTAACTTCCACATGTATGCGGATGACACCCAACTCTACCTTTCCTCCTCTACTCTCAACTCCACGACCACCGATGTCCTGACAGTCTGCCTGTCCGACATCGAGTCCTGGACGAGAGACAACTTTCTTCAGCTCAACGTGCGAAAAACCGAGGCCCTCCTGATTGGCTCACGTCAGCGCCTCCGCACCTCAGGCGCTGACACCATCAGCATCCAAGGCTGCACTCTCCACCTCTCAAAGCCAGTCAGGAACCTCGGCGTTTTGTTCGACCCTGAGCTGTCCTTTCTCCCTCACATCCGCACCACAACTGGCACCGCCTTCCATCACCTCCGGAATATCGCCAGATTACGGCACTACCTCACCCCTCACGCCGCTGAAACCCTGGTTCACGCCTTTGTCACCTCAAGGCTGGACTATGGGAACTCTCTCCTCGCCGGCCTTCCCGACACCTCCCTCCACAAGCTGCAGGTCATTCAGAACTCTGCAGCTCGTGTACTGTCCCGCACCAGGCTTCGGGACCACATCACTCCCACCCTCGCTCGCCTCCACTGGCTCCCCATCCCCAGAGGATTGATTTCAAGATCCTCATCCTCACCTACAAGGCCATTCACGGCCTTGCTCCCTCCTACCTCTCCAACCTACTATCCCCCTACCTACCTGCCCGTACCCTCCGTTCCTCTGGCTCCGGTCTGCTCCACGTCCCCCGCCCCAACCGCCCTACTATCGGTGGTCGGGCCTTCAGCCTCTCAGCCCCGAGGCTCTGGAACTCCATCCCCCAGTGCCTTCGCCTTGCTTCCTCCCTTTCCTCCTTCAAGGCCGGTCTCAAAACCTTTCTCTTTGACCGTGCCTTCAGCTCCCCTCTCGACTCTCTTCCTCCTCCTCGCTCCCTCCCTTCCCTCCCCTCACCCTGACCATTTCCCCCCTGCTCGGGTCATGACCCAACTGTGCAGCGCCTTGGGACGTCCTCCTGACGTGAAAGGCGCTCTATAAATGGAATCTTGTTGTTGTTGTTGTTGTTGTAGAGAGGGAGATAAACACAGTGTGTCAAGGAGGGACAAGAAGCTCAGAAAAAAAGGGCATTAGTGAGTAGGGGAAATAGCAAGAAGTCAAAATTAAAGGTTCTATATCTGAATGCACGAAGCATTCGTAATAAGATAGATGAATTAATGGCACAAATAGAAACAAATGGGTATGATCTAGTAGCCTTTACTGAGACGTGGTTACAGGGGGATCAAGGGTGGGAGCTAAATATTCCCGCGTAGTTGGCATATAGGAAAGATAGGCAATGTGGAAAACGAGGTGGGGGGGTAGTCCTGCTAATAAAGGAAGGGATAAAAACAGTAGAGAGAAAAGATTTTAAATCAGAAACTCAGGATGTAGAGTCAGTATGGGTGGAATTACGAAATAACAAGGGGCAGAAAATACTAGTTGGGAGTAGTTTATAGACCCCCGAACAGCAGTAACAGTATTGCGCAGAGTATTAACCAGGAAATTAGAGAAGCATGTAGCAAAGGAAATACACTAATAGTGAGTGATGTTAATCTTCATATAAATTGGGAAAACTAAATTGGCAAAAGTAAGTTAGAGGAGGAGTTTATAGAATGCATTAGAGATAGTTTTCTAGATCAGTATGCTGAGGAACCAACCAGGGAATAGGCTATCCTAGATCTTGTTTTATGTAATGAAATAGGGGTAATCAGCAATCTGGAAGTTAAGACTCCTCTAGGGCAGAGTGGCCATAACATGATGGAATTTAACATTAAGTTAGAGAGTGATGTGGTTAAATCCGAAGCAAGGGTCTTAAATTTAAATAGAGCCAACTTTATGGTATGAGCGAGGATTTAGCTAAAATAGACTGAGGAATTAGATTAAAGGATATGACAGTAGACCAGCAATGGCAAACCTTTAAAGATATAGTACATAATTCCCAGCGATCACATATTCCCTTGAGGAATAAAATACCACAGGAAAAGTGGTTCAACTATGGCTAAATAGAGCAGTTAGGGAAAATATAAAATTAAAAGAAGAGACCTATAATACTGCCAAAAAGAGTAGTAAACCCAAGGATTGGGAGGACTTCAGAGACCAACGAAGACTAAGAAATTGATTAGGAGAGAGAAAATAGATTATGAGGGCAAACTAGCTAGGAACATAAAGACAGACTGGAAGAGACTAGCAAAAGTGAATGTGGGTACATTACAGGCAGAGACAGGAGGAATCATAATGGAGAATAAAGATATGGCACAGTCATTAAACAAATACTTTGCTTCTGTCTTCACATTAGAAGACACAGAAAACTTACCAAAAATAGAGGGGAACCAAGAAGCTAATGTTAGTGAGCAACTTAGGGAAATTAACATCAGTAAAGAATTAGTAGTAGGGAAACTGTTGGGATTGAAAAATTACAAATCCCCTGGACCTGATGGCCTGCATCTTAGGGTTTTAAAAGAGGCAGCTGCTGAGATAGCGGATGCCTTGTTTTTGATCTTCCCATTGATTGGAAGATCGCAAACATAACACTACTATTTAAGAAGGGTGGGAGAGAGAAGATGGGGAACTATTGACCAGTCCAGTCTGACATCGGTGGTAAGGAAAATTCTAGAATCCTTAATTAGGGACGTCGTAGTGGGGTACTTAGAAGACCATAACATGATTAGGCAGAGTCAACATGGCTTTACAAAAGGGAAGTCATGCTTACCAAATCTTTTAGAGTTTTTTGAGGATGTAACGAGCAGGTTAGATAGGACGGAGCTAGTAGATGTAATATATTTAGATTTTCAGAAGGCATTCGACAAGGTGATACATAAAAGGCTGCTACACAAGATTAGGGCACATGGAATTAGAGGCAATATATTAGCATCCTCGGCGGCCCTGCCTTCAGCCACTATTCCCCAAGGCTCTGGAACTGCCTTCCTCACTCCCTTCGTCTCACTCCCTCCCTTCCCATTTTCAGGTCTCTACTGAAGACCTTTCTTTTCGACCGCGCCTTTGGTCACCTTCCCACCCCTCCCCCTGGCTCAGTCCCAGGACTGAGACGCCATCCGGCGTGGAGGGCGCTATATAAATCCAAGTTGTTGTTGCAGCATGGATCGAAGAGTGGCTAACGGGAAGAAAACAGAGAGTAGGGATAAACAGGTCCTTCTCAGATTGGTGGGATGTGACAAGTGGAGTGCCACAAGGATCAGTGCTTGGGCCTCAACTATTTACAATTTATATCAATGATCTAGACGAGGGCATAGAACTTAAAATATCTAAATTTGTGGATGATACTAATCTAGGTGGGAGAGTAAGATGGAATATAATGTGGGGAAATGTGAAGTTATTCCCCTAGCTAATAAAAACAGAAAAGCAGATTATTTTCTAGAAGGGGAGAGACTAGACAACATTAGCTTTCAGAGGGATTTGGGTGTCCTTGTACACCAGTCACAAAAAGTTAGTATGCAGGTACAGCAAGCAACTAGGAAGGCTAATGGCATGTTGGCGTTTATTGCAAAAGGGTTAGAATACAAGAGTAGGGAAGTCTTGCTGCAACTGTATAGGGCCTTGGTGAGACCGCACCTAGAATATTGTGTGCAGTTTTAGTCTCATTTAAGAAAGGACATACTTGCCTTAGAAGGGGTGCAACGTAGATTCACTAGGTTAGTTCCTGGGATGAGGGGGTTGACCTATGAGGATAGGTTGAGTAAACTAGGCCTATATTCCCTAGAATATAGAAGAATTAGGGGTGAACTTACAGAAACATATAAGATTCTTAAGAGGCTTGACAGAGTAGAGAATGTGAGACTGTTTCCCCTGGTAGGAGAATCTATAACTAGGGGTCACAGTCTTATGATTAAGGGACAGCCTTTTCGAACAGAGTTGAGGAAACACTTCTTCACTCAGAGGGTAGTGAATGTATGGAATTCTCTAGCCCAGAAGGCTGTAGATGCTCAGTCCTTGAACATACTCAAGACTGAGATTGATAGGTTTCTAAAGGATAGAGGGATTAAGGGATATGGGGATAAGGCGGGCAGATGGAATTAGGTTAGAAGATCTGACATGATCTTGTTGAATGGCGGGGCAGGTTCGAGGGGCCTACTCCTGCTCCTAATTCCTATGTTCCTATAAGAACTCAAGAAAAAAAACAAAAAAACAATAATTTGGTCACTCAATCTACGACTGTTTGTGTGATACTGCTGTGCACAATTGGCCGCCGCGTTTCGCCCACAAAACATACAGTCAATTCACTTTACAGTATATTCTACGAATCGCTTTGAGACTTCTAGAAGACGTGAAAAGCGCTATATCAAATGCAAGGATTATTATTATTTTATTATTATCTAGTTTCTAGTCCTAGTCATGCATTTTTCATTAATATTTTTGGTTTTGATTATTTCCAAATTTCTAACATTTTTTCTACATATCAAGGTGGTTATTATCCTTCCAATTCCTTTACTGAAAATGAGCACTGAACCACAGGTTTCACTGGCCTTTCGTGCCCAACCAACATGTGTGTTCTTCAGGAACAAACCTGCACAATGATGGGCTACTAAACGCTGGGCAGGATCACAGTAAAGTTCAATCCTGTCCTCCCTGTAATCATGAAATACCAAATTCCGAAACCAGCTTCAGCAATAGTCTTTTCTGTATACTGAACAGATGTTGGAATCTAAATAAATATTATGGAAATAGCTTTTATGAGCCTCACATAATTATTATTTAATTACATACAATACATATTTGAATCTTCTTCAATAGCTGTGGAGAACAGGGTAAAATCTATTCAAATGAAACTGTGGAACTTTAGTTAGCTATAATAATAATAATAATAATAATCCTTGCATTTGATATAGCGCTTTTCACGTCGGGAGGACGTCCCAAAGCGCTTCACAGAATATACTGTAAAGTGAGTTGACTGTATATTTGTGGGCGAACGCGGCAGCCAATTGCGCACAGCAATGTCCCACAAAAAGTCATAGATTGAAAATGACCAATTTAATTATTGTTTTTGGTTTTGGAGGGATTATTATTAGGCGTGTGGAGTAAGGAAACTTGCCCAAGGTTTCGTCCTGCCTGGAATTGAACTCAGGTCTCTCGCTTGCAAAGCGAGTGCTCTAACCACTGAGCTACAGGACTCCACAGCAGCTATCAAACTACCTCTAAAAACAGCTGACCAATATTGCAATAAACGACAAAGGACATTCACCATTAAGATAGGTTAACATGTACAGTATTCTTAGCAATGTCTTAACTCCCAGAGGGCAGAATCTTAAAAAAAACTATATACAAAAATATAGCAAAATTAAAAATACTTATGAAGATCATCACAGATACACTTGCGGAACAAGGCTCAATTACCTTGTTTCCAGTTTGTGAGGAAATTTCTTCTGCTGCCTGCTCCAAGACATCCTGTTTTCTTTAAATAACAAGAAAAATTTAGCTTCTATTATTCATTATTTTGGAGTACTTGTTTCCTAGTTGGATATGTCGTATTAGTTGAATATTTATGATGTGGTCAAGGTAATCTTTAGTATTGGCATGTTTTAATGCAAAACCAATATTTAAACCAGGTTTCAAACAATTACATTCATGGAGAATGAAATCAAGAAAGCAGTAGAAAGATAATAGAATTGTTCTAATAAATAATAAGTTAAAAAGTGAACTGAAAAGATCACTAAATAATAATAATATTTGCATTGCCTTTTATGTCAAGAGATTGTTTCAAAATGCTTTGCGGCATATATTGTGCAGTGGCTGCACTTTTAGGCAAACACAGCAGTCCATTTGCACACAGCAATGTCCCACAAACAACCATAAAGTGAATGATCGATTCTATTTGGGGGAAGGTTCACCAGGACACTGGGAGAAACTCCCTTCTCTTTTCAAATAGTGCCATGGGATATTTAACGTCCACCTGAACAGGCAAAGACGGGACCTCAGTGTTGCATCTAATGCAAAGGATAGCAATGCAACACACTCAACAAGCACACCACTAGACTGTCAGCTTTGACTCTTGTCACTTCAAAGTCCCGATATTCGTGAGTTCATTTTCTTTAATATATCTGAAAGGCATATTGTTGAAAAGAGGATCTGACAGCTTTGACTTCGGCATTTAAAGGTTACAAAGTACAGATATTTTTACTCACCTACTCGCAATAATACAAACAGCACCCAGAGAAGAAAGAGCAGTTGTTATTCCTTTCCCAAGTCCAGTGCCTCCACCAGTAATAAAGGCCACTTTACCCTTAAATGTTCCAGAAGGCAACATTAATGTTTTCAAAGGAGAGAACATAGCAGCTTGAGGTAGGTCAATGCTTTGCCCCAGCACTTTTGTTCCTCGACTGAAAAACTGTGGAGACAAAAGTAAATCAGTTACAATTTCCACCATGCGATATATGTTAAATTTCTGTATCACAAAAGATTGACTCTTCATTTTTGTATCCATTTTAACCGAATACAATGTTGGTTACTTTCATTCCAAGTAACCATTGATATAAACAAAATTATAACCACAAAGGATTGCTGAAGCTTTAAGAAAAAAATTAGTCCAGTTAATGTATAAAACTTACTGTGGGGGGACTTACTCAACCTTTTTTTTCTGCAATTTACACTAATGAGCCCTTCAGTTTTATTGTGCAAATAGAAGACAAGAATACCCATAAAAAATGTTACATACATAAATTTGGTGAAATCACTACTGCTATTTTTACAAGCAGCTGTTGTTGTTATTTCAGCACCATTTATATCTTACTTGACACTTCAAATTTTCAATTTAATAATTAACTGGCACCAGACATAACAAACACATGGAGTTAAGCTTTTCTCAAGGCAGTTCTACTTTTATATAAATTGTTCCTGAGCTACCGGATGCCTTAAAAGGAAAGTTGCCCTTTATTTGAAATTATTCAGACACCGATCTCTGTTACTACTCTACATCCAGACCTACAGTTACTGTTGAAAATGACTGCCTGTCAGACATTGAATAACTTTCTTCATTTGAATGTCGACAAGGCAGAGGCTCTCCTGCTTGGTTCCAGTCAGCACCTTCTCACCTCAGCATCAAACAACCTGGATGCACACTCCACCTCAGGGAACCTCAGTGTCTTGTTCAACTCTCAACTGTCCTTTAAACTCCACAGCCATGCCTTGACCTGTTCAGCTTCTCGCCACCTCTGCAACATGCCCACCTCCGCCACTATCTCTGCCCTCTGGCTGCTGTGACCCTTATGCACTAATGCACTTATGCACTACGCCAACTCTGCTCACGAGACTTCCCAACTCTTGCCTCCAGAAACTGCAGACTATTTAGAATTCTGCAGGTCTTGCGTCTTCTCCCCCACCAAGCTCCGTGAGCCTATAATTCCCATCCAAACTATGCAGTGTTAGCTGGTTAAACTCCAACAGTACCCCAACCCACATTCTGGGTCCCCACATCTTGGCTTTGCCTACACATGTCTATGTAATTAAGTGAACAGGATGCTTCCCTCAAGACAACGAGAGGGCGAGAGGGCATTTCATTCCAAACTTGGCAATTTCCACGTGTAGGTGAAAATGCGTGGAACTCTCAATTTGATACCCTTAAGAATGGTAAAGTTCCCACATTGGTCTGGTACCAGTCTGCCCAAACAACCTGGTCAATCCTATTATTCAGAGAGAAAAAGATGGCAGCAATGTAAGAATGTACACTGTAACATTAAAAGAACAAGTCTCAGTGTCACTCCCCCCCACACCCCCCCCACCCCCCAGCCTGTCTCAGTGCCCCCCCCCCCCCCCCGCCTGTCTCAGTGCCCCCCCCCCCCGCCTGTCTCAGTGCCCCCCCCCCCGCCTGTCTCAGTGCCCCCCCCACAGCCAGTCTCAGTGCCCCCCCCCGCCTGTCTCAGTGCCCCCCCCCCGCCTGTCTCAGTGCCCCCCCCCCCCCCCGCCTGTCTCAGTGTCCCCCCCACAGCCTGTCTCAGTGCCTCCCCCCCACACACCCCACAGCCTGTCTCAGTGCCTGTCTCAGTGCCCCCCCCCACAACCTGTCTCAGTGCCCCCCCCCCCGCCTGTCTCAGTGCCCCCCCCCGGCCTGTCTCAGTGCCCCCCGCCTGTCTCAGTGCCCCCCCCCCCCGCCTGTCTCAGTGCCCCCCCCGCCTGTCTCAGTGCCCCCCCCCCCGCCTGTCTCAGTGCCCCCCCCCCGCCTGTCTCAGTGCCCCCCCCCCGCCTGTCTCAGTGCCCCCCCCGCCTGTCTCAGTGCCCCCCCCCCCCGGCTGTCTCAGTGCCCCCCCCCGCCTGTCTCAGTGCCCCCCCCACAACCTGTCTCAGTGCCCCCCCCCCCCGCCTGTCTCAGTGCCCCCCCCGCCTGTCTCAGTGCCCCCCCCCCGCCTGTCTCAGTGCCCCCCCCACAACCTGTCTCAGTGCCCCCCCCCCCGCCTGTCTCAGTGCCCTCCCCCACAACCTGTCTCAGTGCCCCCCCCCCGCCTGTCTCAGTGCTCCCACAGCCTGTCTCAGTGCCGCCCCCCCCCCGCCTGTCTCAGTGCCCCCCCCCCGCCTGTCTCAGTGCCCCCCCCCCGCCTGTCTCAGTGCCCCCCCCCCACACCTGTCTCAGTGCCCCCCCCCCCCGCCTGTCTCAGTGCCCCCCCCCCGCCTGTCTCAGTGCCCCCCCCCCCGCCTGTCTCAGTGCCCCCCCCCCGCCCGCTGTCTCAGTGCCCCCCCCCCGCCTGTCTCAGTGCCCCCCCCCCCCGCCTGTCTCAGTGCCCCCCCCCCGCCTGTCTCAGTGCCCCCCCCCGCCTGTCTCAGTGCCCCCCCCCGCCTGTCTCAGTGCCCCCCCCCCGCCTGTCTCAGTGCCCCCCCCCCGCACAACCTGTCTCAGTGCCCCCCCCCCCCCCGCCTGTCTCAGTGCCCCCCCCCCCACCTGTCTCAGTGCC